TTTCCCATCCAAAATAGAAAAGAAGAGGCGTACTGTGCTGCCTCGCTGTTTCTCTTTAGGAACTATACAAGAAAAGGCTTTTCAGTGTTGTTTCTACTGTGAGGTGGGGGGGAAAAAAAGAAAAACACTTTAGATGTATCACATAAGCTTGGCGTAGATATTTTGAGTCTTGGAGTGGGATGCCTTTTAAGATAGCGGCTGGTTGTCTCTTTCTACCATGGGGAGGGTGATAGAGAAGCGGAGCTCGGTCTGCCCTTCTCGCCACTGTGTGATCGAAAAAGCACCCTCGTGGCCGAGTCCCAGATTGGTATGTCCACCAAACACACACACAACAACACTTTTCATTTTGCTGCAAATAACATCACACGGAAGTTGGACTGTGTTTCCCGTAGGTTTCATCGACTTTATCGTGTACCCAACGTTCTCCCTGCTGACGGACATGGCGGAAAAGATTGTGGTGCCTCTGGTGGAGGAGAACCCAGGTCCGCCGGACCCCTGTAACAGACACAGGTACTGGCCTTTTTTTCCAAACTAACAAGCTTATCATCTCACAATATAATCAAAAATTATGCCCACAGATGTGCGTAATAAAATGAACCTACGGCCTGTAGACGTAAAACGCAGGATTGAAGAGGATTTAACATTCACTAATGCTCAGCAAAAATTACGCTGATCTGAAATACTGTTTTCATTCTTCTTTCAAATGTACACCGTGTAAAGGAAAATAGTGTGCTGTCGCCTAATGGTCAACAGTGGAATTGCACTAAAAATAAATGTGAGCCAGAACAAAAGATGGAGAGCGACACACCATATGAAAATAATTCATGAACTAATTGGACCACAAACCCGGAACCCGAGATGGAGAAGGGGATTACTGTACATTTTTGTAATAAAGAAAAATATAAATATGAAAAAATAAGTGACAATAAAGAAATAAACTGGTTCAATGGCGTGCAATTAAGCCAGAAATCAAACAGATGCACACTGACGTTCATTAATGGGTTCTCTCTCTCTCTCTCTCTCTCTCTCTCTCTCACGAGGTACTGCTATTTCATGAGCCCATATCGGTTTCACCCAGCGACCATTTAAAATTTTTTTGAAAAGGCACAAGCAAAGTCAAATTTTCTGTTACCACCTCCTAGTCGAGGTGGGGTCCTTCCCCTGGAATAAGTATCGCGTGAAGTGAAGTCATCCTTTAATTCTGATACAATTAGGTATGATTGGTACTACGTTGAACAGATTTTTTGCGACATTGGAAGGCCGTTTTGCTTCATTGTTGGTCAAAATTGAAGCATAAAAAGATTTCAACCAGCTCAACAGTTAAAGTATTATCAACTGTCTGGCACATTAGGCCAGGTGGTAAATAATTGGTATATCCACTTCTGAGGACTCTTTTATCTCGTCATGTCTCTTTTACTTGCGTCAGTTAGGTAGAACTATATATAAAAAAAAATAATAATAAATCACACTCGTACTAGAGCTTTCTCCCCGGTTGCCTGGTGACTGTCTGCTGTATTGCCTCTGTGCTGTGTTTTTTGGCTTACTAGTAATGTGTGGAAAGAGAGCTCCAGAGGCCTGCAGTGGAGTCTGGCTCATATCACAGCCGAGCTGGTCAGCTTCCGTTCAACGTGGACGCGTCACACCGACGACAACAAGCTCAAGTGGAAAGACGGAGGATCCAAAGGTATTTTCCCCATCAGTCAACATCCACAGGACAGTGTGCTGTCCAGACAGCTGATTGCAATTGAGGCACAATGTCCATAAATAAGCTGTGTTGAGTCACACAATCTATTTTACAGCAGTTTCAGACAACAAGAAAAATACACATACAGTACATTGTAGCTATTTATTTCTTCTTTTTTTTTTTAACCCTGCAGGATTTTCAGAAGCCCAGGTGTCAAAAGAGCTGAGAGGCGCAACAGAGGAGCAGTCGCATAAATCACAGCAGGATGCCACCACATACACAAACCAGTCAACTTGACTACTTTAAAAAAAAAAAGTCATTTGAACAATATATCTGTTAGGCTGAATGTCACTGTTTGTAACAAAACCACAATGTTATGATACTGCCCCATTTTTAATAACATAATTTAATGGTACAATTGTGTAACATGCTGGCCATGTTGTGTTATAACTAGAGCATCTTATTAAATTAATTTCCAAGCAGCTTGTTGCAAGTGTTATATTCACATTATCGTCCCTTTTCTAACCCGCTTATTCTCACGAGGGTTGCGGGCATTCTGGCCCCTATCCCACCCGCCTTCGGACAGTAGACGGGTACACCCTGAACTAATCGCAGGGTGTACATAGACAAACAACCATTCACACTCACAATCACACCAAGGGACAATTTAGAGCGTTAGAACATATTATTGTAAAGTTGTTTTTTTTTTTGTTTTTTTTATTTTACGCGTTGACTTCCCCCTTATGTTTAAAACACACTCATTATTCCATTATTTTTATTACTTTGATGATGAGGACGACTGCAATATTATTTTATTCACTGCTCAAGCATGACTTGACTCATTTCCCTCTTCGATTTATAGTATCAGATTATTTCTGTTCATATGCAGCTTCAATGCCATTATTGTTTTGATTCCATTGAAGCTAAAAAGTATACAAGCAACACAAATTTACATTATAATGCGCTTGTTTTAGAGCTTCAATTATGTTTCAGGGGGGTTAAAATGTAAAATTACTGTTAATATTAATCAATACAGTGTCATTTGGTTCCTCTTGAACTGAAAGGATTCATATTTCCTTTTTTTTTATATATTGAAGATAATCAATGGAAAACAGTAAAACCCATCAAAGCTCTAAATGGACTAAACGTGTTGAACTCGGGGGGGGGGCGATTTTTACGTCAATAGATTGTATAATAGCAGCTTGTATGGGCTGTCATTATATTGTGTTGATGGCAGTTGTGCCCAACCTTTTTTGACCAAATATCTACTTTTCGATCGATCAACCAACCTCCCGCAATCAATCGAACTGTTACCGCACACGGCGCGCATACGCACGCACTTACACACGCATGCCCCGATGAGCAATAGACATAACGACCCATAAAATGAACGAAACAGAAAAGAATAAAAAAGACACAAAAGTTTGTGAGTTTGTGAAAAGGGCTTGCTGCCTACCTTAGTGGGAGACCTGACTCGGATGCATGTGACGCACTTTCGCAGCATGTCCATGATCGTAGCTCACGTGTACCGTTTGAAAATGCTTCTCCCTGCACTCCACTGATTCCCATGCCTTGTCCGTGCCCTCGGTGGACTGTACACGAAACAAATTCGAAATGTAAATAATAACAATAAAAGCTACAGCGCAACAGCTCTGATCGCAAGCTGCAATTCCAGACGGCTGAGCGTTAACAACTTCCGGTGATTCGGATCACGCGCCACCGGAAGTTAAAGGTGACCAGCTTTTTTATTTTATTTTTTTTAAATACTTTTTGTGAAAGTGATACTGATAGGATGCTAACGGTGCAGTGTGCACTAACACAAAAAAATATATATATATATTAAAAAAAAAAAAACACTCACACGGACAAATCTTTGATCAGTCCGCAAGTTACCGGTCAATCGCGATCCACGTATTGGGCACCACTGGTCTATGGTACCTATTGCGACTGGTGAATTTGCAAACTGCCTCAACTGATGCATACTTAACCAGAAATGTATGCTTCTAGACTTAAGTTGATGCAATGCCACTCAATGTAAGCGGCCTCGTTTATGAAAAATGTATGCTTTTTGTGCTTCCTGCTCATAGTTCAATGAATTATTAATATGCTGGGCCTATTTTTAGGGGAGTCACCCTCAATGAACCACATGGCCAGTGGCGCGCGCTTGTGAAAACATCCTCTTTGTTGAAATAAATCAGAACACATCACCAATTTCAACATTTTATTGTATCAAACACATTTGGAGAACTCATAAATTCAAGTAAGCTTGGAACAAATGGTTTGAGTTGAAGTTCCATTTTGAAAAACAAGATAAACACGACAGAATCCATAAATACAAAGCAGAGAGAAAAAAAGAGCAAAATTTGTCATGTTTTTTTTAAAGTTGTGTTTTTCGGTATTCTCGAGCTGATGCGTGTGATGTATCGTAGATGAGAAGCAATTGTCACAATCTCCATATCAACGTAATTTCAATTAGGAGGAATTTAACATGTTCTGGTTGATTAGACGCAGGATTATCGGGCTGTAAAATGGGTTTGTGCCATACAAAACGAAGCACAAAAAAATTCTAGTTGGATCATGCAAGAAAGTGTTTTATCAGATGGATTTACATTAGAAGAAAGAAATAAAACTAGTAAATGAAAATATGTGATGCAGTATAATGGAACATGGACCTGGCGAATATCCATTAAATCAGCAAATTTACACAGTAATCCCTCGCTAATATTCAAGGGACTGAGCTCTATAGCAGCGCACAAAAAGAAATATTGAAAAAAATTGCAAGAACAAATGTTTACAAGTGCCTACATGGCCAAAAAGAGAAACATAATTTCAAACTCATTTTACAAAAGGAACCTCAAAAATAAACGTCTGCCAGATTATTTAGATTTGGAAACAAATACATCTGAAGTACCCATCTACGTGCACATTTGGAGACGACTCTACTAACGTCTACTAACAACCCAGGCTAAACAAACTAAGGCTCCTCACCACCATATTCCCACTTCTGGAAAGACATTTGAGCATTTATTCCATATCCTGATATCAGGTTTAATACTTTCACACACCCTGTAACCTGATAACATGATAAACTGTCCACTGTAGTAACCGCTGTCCCTGAAAGGGTAAAAGCCCTGTCGGCACCAAAGCATTAGAATTCCAAAGTTGAATGTACGAGTATGTGGACCTGGGATATCCTTGATATCCATCAAGGATATCCAAGCCATTTCATAATATATGCTCAAAAAGGTTCATAAAAAGCTGTCACGCTCACACTCGTGGAGGAAAAAAAATGTCGTTAGACACAGTCGTTCTACTGGTGCACTGAATTGTGCACAAAGACAAAAAAAGAAAAAACATTGTAGTACAAGAACCTGAAACTGGATATCGGCTAAATGCTCAAATGGCTTTGCATAAAAGCTTGTGTCGAAGTTGAGATGCTTCACCTTACTTCCTTGAGACCAATTTCTTTATAGATGGCCTCATCTTATGGCAACTAAGACAATTATTGAAAAGTATCACTGCATCTATTCACATATCTACCAATTCCTGTTCCCTTTTACGTTACGTCCATCAGGTGTCATCAAAGGGTGAATCGTTTGACTTTATTTTAGTTTTATTTGAGAATGAATAACTTTATCCCCGTATGCCAGTTAGGAATGTGAAAATGAAACCTACACTAATGCTACTAGCGACCGTGTTGAAAACGTAACATTTCACGAGGTACAAACGGGGTGTTATTGCTTCAATGGAACAATCACAGACGTCATGGCACATAAAATGATATCGTGTGTGATTCAATGAAATGCTGACATGACAGGAGATGTGTAATACGCAAGTGCGACGCTAAAATGAGTGTTTTGAATCGTGGGAAATTGGAATTACAGAAGCAAAAACGTAAGGATCCCTTTGGAACTGTATGGCTATTTATGAAGGTTGTTTTGTGGCTGGTAACTGAGGCCCTGAAGGACTGTCCTGATGTGGCTAGAAAGTGAGTCTGCGCGCACACACAAACACAAAATTTTTTTGTCATCGTGTGGAGCTGGCTGAGTAGAAGGAGCAGCATTTATGATGTACACACAAGTGCTTTCATTCATTCTTTTTATCTTCTTTTTCAACATTTATTTTTCTGTCCCCGGGATGAGCTTCTTTGTCTTCTCGTCGGCTAGCTGACCGGTGCCGCCGCATGTCGCCGCTTTTGTGTCTGCGAAATACAGGCGTGACAGTCAGTCTTGGACATTCTCAGGAAAGATTCGTTCTTGTACTTGAAGTATACCGTAGTCAAGTGTATAGAAGTGTTTCGGCTTAATCCTTGCTCGTGATTAAAATTCTGTGTGGGGAATTACAAAGTTGATAACATTGTGATATTATCACTATATTGTGTCAAACAATCCAATAGTATCACAATACAAGAAGTCAGAACCCAATTTCAAAATATTTTGCTAATAGCTTAACTTATCATGATACAGTGCTCGCAATATGATGTAAAAATATTTTGCTAGTGCCGATCTTGATATGATATGGACGATACAGCGATATTTTTCCCACTGTATCGTGATACAGGACTTACACTACTATTTCATCATATTTTGTCAATGATACCAAAAAGTATGACAGAATAATCATGCAACTAAGTAAGTACCGTATCAGTATGCAATACCGATGACATCATATTTTCCAATAATATGCACAGTATCATGATACAGTATTGATGACGCGATATCAAATACGACGGTATAGTATCCCAATACAGTAATCACAGTCTAATATTATCGCAAAATTAATCAAGATGCAGTATTCATTATATTAAGTTTTTACCAACAACAAGATTGATCAGCGCAAAACATTAAAAAGTATCACAGTGAGTGTCGCTATTCCCTGTGTTACTTCATGAGAGTTGAGACAAACAAGTCTGCACAAAAAGCTAAACACTCACAAAATTGGCAATGTCCAGAAGACTTGAATTCAGAGTACACTTTCCCACCCATGAAGACAGCGGGACTATGTGTGTCACCACAGTGAATGTTAATCAAGTTTCCATGGGTATTGTTGCCACGGCGTTGTCATGCACTTTAAAACCAATGCTACAACACTTTCAAAAAGGTTGGTCGTTACAGATCAAGACACATTGATTGACAAGAATAATGTAGTACTGGAGGTCAAGAAAGAAATACTTTAATGGATGGAATTTTTGTTTGTCCAAGTGTTCTTTATTTAACCTTGAATTGGCTGTCATTACGTACGGTCAAAAGAGTCAGACACACTTGGCTCACAACTGAGTTAAATCCGGAGGAACTAGACTGAAACAGACACACAAAGTGGAATCGAAGTGCTACTTTTTGAGCCACAAAGTGACCTCCTGTTACTGTACTGCACCTCCCTGTAAAGTAAGCTCTTATATTTGTGTGTATTTCTCAATGGCCCATTGTTTCATTTTATCTTGTTCCTATGTGTTCACACAAAGTATCTCCCACATGAACATCTCCCACACGCACCACATTCCTCACACGAGCCCACAAAACTCCACCAGTACTTTTCCATTGTGTGCACTGCGCATGATCCATTTCTTTTAATAAAAACACTTTGCGGCGGGAGGATCCAGGTGGAACAGGAGATCTTGTGAGCCGAGCACACTGTGACCTCGTGCCCTCCCTGTTCTTCCCTGCTGCAGCAGTCTAAACCTTATTTCCGTGTGCGTGCCTGTTCTTTGCCCGGGTCGGTCGAGTCTTTTAGACTTTAGACCTAACACTCCCACATCCAAGCTGTTGAAATAACGTGTATGGAGATCCAGCATATATAATTATTCAGTTGAACTATGATGGCAAATGACTGGAAAGTGATTCGATAATTCCAAGTTTCTATTAATTAAGAAAGCAACAGATGACTAAAATGTATTCTGTGCAAATCAAGGTAACGTTTACTATTGACAGCTAAAGTGCAGTGAGTGCAGTTTACAGACCACCTCATGTGTTCTAACAACCCTGGTTTTAATAATGTTTGGGGGCGGGGGGTGAGAAAAAGCTTAGAAACACAAAAGGCTGACTGTACAGTAGTGTCCTCTGGGCATTTGAGCCGCAGCAGAGCTTTGAGAATAATTTGCGCAAAACACACTTTGCATACTGATGCGATAGAAGAGCGCCCCCTGGGAAAACCTTCTTGACGGCATAATATGGTGTTATTTTCCCCTCTTATTTACCCGCTTGAGCCTCGTTAAGCTGCGATGAAGGATCTGATGAAGCGACTCTGGAACAGTCGTCGTCTTCTTCCTTTGAGAAGGGGCACTCCGATCCGTCGACGGCCGCCTCTGACAGACTCTCCCTGGAGAACTCGGCTGCAAACGCAAAATAATGGGAGTCAAGATAGTTGACCAATAAGGTTACGCTCATTAGATGCACATGATGTGCCCGATCAATGCTGCCTGACATTTAACGTGTTACTGTATTTACTCACGCTGAGTCTATTTACAACGGCGCCCCATTAATGAGGACACATGGCCATCTCATCATTTTCTGATATTGTTAATACGCATCATAAGCTATTTCACAATAGGTTGCTCATACCTATAGTACAGTACATCCAATACAATGTTATGATCTTTCCTAGATATTGTTCACATCATGATGCAGTACTTCCGAAATATTATCATGATAGTTCTCAGATACACTACAGTAGTAATATGATAAATGATTCACAATACAATATTGTGAGTGTGTTTCCTGCTGCTGATAAATCATAATACAGTATGCAAAATACGATACCACAATATCGTTGCACTACAGATAGGATCACGATACAGCACTTACAATAGAAGATGAGAATTAATTTTTTCTCATATTAATGTTATGACAACAGACCTCACCCTAAGATATTGTGGTAATATTTTGACCATACCAGCAGTATTGTGATACAGTACTCATAATGTTATTTTCTTTATACGGACAACATTATGATACAATACTTACAACAGTTGCACAATATGCCAACAGTATCACAATATAGGACAGACATTATGGTACCAAACAGCATCCTATTATGGTATTGCAGGTACTAACAGTTTCTTAATGCAGTAACACAATATTACTCAGATATCCTTCCAATAGTATCATGATACAGTACTCACAGTAAAAGATGATCATATTATTTTCTGATATCAATAATATTTCACCACAGTCCTCACAATATAACATTAGCGTGATATTTTGCCCAGACCGACAGTATCACATTCAATGATCCACGTTACAAAACAAAACACTAAGTATGTCAGGATAATACTGTAGGCAGTGATAGTATCACGATACAGGGCAGCACTAAAAACAAACACGCAGAATATATTTTGGCTCCAGAGATACAGCCCTTATGAAGCATTAAGCCAGGGCAATTACTGGTTGCATGTGCAGGGTATGCGCTGCACTCTATGACCATCTGGTGACCTGCTATTTAAGTGAATTACGGGGGCTGAGATGGAGCGCCTCTTTGTCACTAAAGCAAGGACACAACATCCATACAAGTCGCAGGAGATACCGGCACAAATGAGTAAGGTCAGCATGCATGTGCACAGTCCAGTCTCCAGAGGAATTTGGCAAATTGATACCGCCATAATTAAAGAAATTAATATAAATAAATGAATTAACTGGTCAAATAAATAATCTTACGTACTTAAGTTGACTTACTGTGGCAGAAGTAACAATGGGCAACTTAAATGCTGAAGTGGGCCACAATTTTTCACCAGTGCTTTGGGGGGCTAACATGGGACCGCATACTTCCTAGCCAGATTTATAACTGAAATGCTATTCTAAATATGGACAAAATGCATGCAAATGTGTAAAATATGTGCTCTTTAACAGATTTCATTTTTATAATGTCTTTCTAAAGAGCCACTATGCTAAAGGTGGTATCTCACTAAGAGAGCGCGGCAAGGGTTAACAAACGTAGAGGATCTGGTTGTTTTTTCATCAGTGACCATTAAAATCGCTTTTAATGGTCACAAACAGTTTTTTCTTGTCACCATCGAATTTTAAACATCTTCAAAATTTCCTTGCGACAAGGACATGAGTTTGCGGACGTCCTTGCAACCTTTTGCAACCTTTGACAAACCCATGATGAATAAAATAACATTCGGGCTCCGCGCAAACGCTAACAAATCTTGCTGCTGAGTGAGATACAGTCTGAACCCAACTCTAAATGGTTTGTAGCAAACAATAAACGTAAAAACACATTGTACTTTTTTTTTCCAGTGCAAAGGGCTCTCATATCGAAAAGTTACCATTCAAGGACGGCACAAAACTGCTGAACAAGAAACCAACATTAGGTGCAAGAATTCATTTTATACATTTATTTGAGGTACTTTGTCCTGCATATCATTCCAAATCCACCAAAAAAATATTTCAGGGAAAATGTATGTATGAATATAATGTTACTGTTAAATTTCATGTGTGCTCTCCTATTCTTTTTATCCCCCCTGATAGTTTTGTGATTTTTTTTTCTATGACAATTTATGTGTGAATTGTTGAACTTTATCACACCTCTGTTTTATCATTGTTAAACCACGTGTCAATATGAGTTGTCACGTCAACATTTGGACGATTACACCATTTTATGTCTACATGATTTGCTGCGCTTTGAACATTTGTGAATAAAATCCAAAAAAGTGTATCCATGCTGTCTTTCCGCTGACTCCGGACGTACCTTCCATTTGGCAGCGCAGCTTCTCAAAGGCTTCGGCGGTAGCCTCGTCGTCCCGCGGGAGCTCCTCCCCCGGGGCCACCGAGTCGGGGCTGGGCCTATCCGACAGGCAACTCTCGGAGGAGCATTCGTCAGCGCCTCCTTGCTGCTGCCTGTATAGGTGATGCTCCACCAGAAACTGCAGCTCTGGGACCAGGCAAAGGATAAGGATCAAGGATAACACAGTGGGAAAAAAGGGTACTGAGTGAATGTTCGCAGAATGTTAAAGGAGGAAACCGTTGGGGAGAAGAGAGGGGTGAGAGGAAGGCAACCAGTGAGGAGGAGGAGAGGGGATTAGCACAGGGAGTTGGGGACAGAAAGGTGATGAGACATCCAGCATATCCAAAACACTAGAAGCTATTTAAATGCAATTATGTATAAAAAAATTAAAAAAATAAAAAAATTAACACCCGGTCATGATTATGAGTGAGGGGGATGCTTGAAACTTAATACTATATTACTCTTAATCACATCAGAGTGGCAACTAAAGCAGGCTGACTCATTCTTCTAAAGGCCGCCTAGCGAGGAAACTAAATAAAAAAAAAATTTAAAAAAACATCCCACCATCGTATTTCTCCACTTAATTAGGCTCTGTGTAATCAGGGTCTTACACAAATCCTCAAGTTAAGTGTCATACCTTTTAATATCTTTTAATACCTTCTCAAAATTCGCTCCAACCAACGCAACTGCCTGCTACTTTGAAACTACACACTAAGGATTAAGATGAGCGACGCCAAACTTTAATGATCGCATTGAATCGGACGTTTCGCTAAAATCATCAAGCGGCCTCTACTTGTAAAATTCCGTTTCATATCTTTTAATTGCTCTGCGGAGATTCATGTCGAGAATTCTTACCTGTGGAGGTATTGTGCAGAAAGCAATGAGATGTATCACCATGGATACCACACACACACACACACACACACACACACACACACACACACACATACACACACTTGAACTTTATCACACCTCTGTTTTATCATTGTTAAACCACGTGTCAATATGAGTTGTCACGTCAACATTTGGACGATTACACCATTTTATGTCTACATGATTTGCTGCGCTTTGAACATTTGTGAATAAAATCCAAAAAAGTGTATCCATGCTGTCTTTCCGCTGACTCCGGACGTACCTTCCATTTGGCAGCGCAGCTTCTCAAAGGCTTCGGCGGTAGCCTCGTCGTCCCGCGGGAGCTCCTCCCCCGGGGCCACCGAGTCGGGGCTGGGCCTATCCGACAGGCAACTCTCGGAGGAGCATTCGTCAGCGCCTCCTTGCTGCTGCCTGTATAGGTGATGCTCCACCAGAAACTGCAGCTCTGGGACCAGGCAAAGGATAAGGATCAAGGATAACACAGTGGGAAAAAAGGGTACTGAGTGAATGTTCGCAGAATGTTAAAGGAGGAAACCGTTGGGGAGAAGAGAGGGGTGAGAGGAAGGCAACCAGTGAGGAGGAGGAGAGGGGATTAGCACAGGGAGTTGGGGACAGAAAGGTGATGAGACATCCAGCATATCCAAAACACTAGAAGCTATTTAAATGCAATTATGTATAAAAAAATTAAAAAAATAAAAAAATTAACACCCGGTCATGATTATGAGTGAGGGGGATGCTTGAAACTTAATACTATATTACTCTTAATCACATCAGAGTGGCAACTAAAGCAGGCTGACTCATTCTTCTAAAGGCCGCCTAGCGAGGAAACTAAATAAAAAAAAAATTTAAAAAAACATCCCACCATCGTATTTCTCCACTTAATTAGGCTCTGTGTAATCAGGGTCTTACACAAATCCTCAAGTTAAGTGTCATACCTTTTAATATCTTTTAATACCTTCTCAAAATTCGCTCCAACCAACGCAACTGCCTGCTACTTTGAAACTACACACTAAGGATTAAGATGAGCGACGCCAAACTTTAATGATCGCATTGAATCGGACGTTTCGCTAAAATCATCAAGCGGCCTCTACTTGTAAAATTCCGTTTCATATCTTTTAATTGCTCTGCGGAGATTCATGTCGAGAATTCTTACCTGTGGAGGTATTGTGCAGAAAGCAATGAGATGTATCACCATGGATACCACACACACACACACACACACACACACACACACACATACACACACACACACACACACACACACACACAAAACAAACTTCACAATCCATTGCTGAACATCACTCACCTTTCATCGTGGGCGTTCCTTTTTGTCCTTTTCGCCGCTGTCGAGGGGAGTTCAACAAGGCAGCCTTGAAAATGAAAAATATCTATTTTTAAATCATCTAATCATCAAGAAAGCGAAACAAAAAAGAGGGTCTTTTGTTTTGGTTAGTTATTTCTGTGATGTCCAAAATGACTCAAAGTACCTTGTAGAGCTGGTTGGGAAGACGGTCTTCATCGATTTCTGTGAGAGGGAATCAAACAAGAGAAATTCAAACATGTATATGGATATAAAAAGTCTACACACCCCTGTTAAAATGACAGATTTTGTGACGTGAAAAAAAAAAATCGGACTTTTACCACCATTAATGTGAGCACTAACCTGCACAACTCACTTAAAAAAAGAAACTTTTTGTGAGGTTAAGTGAAACCAAACAACTGAAATCATGTGGTTGCATAAGTGTACACACCCTCTTATAACCTGGTCTGTAGAAGTGTTCAGAATGAACCAATAACAAATTAGATGTTCAATTCATGTCAAAAGGGGTTCACCTCAAATAAAGATCAGTTGTTATAAAAGGCTTTTCTTTTTTTTTTTTACTATTGTTTTACTTTGCTTTCATTCTAATTCCTTCCACCATCCTTCACTTTATTCTGACTGTACAATGGGTAACTCTTTCCGATATTTGTATTCTCCGCTGTTTATCTTGTTGACGAGCGGTGTTGTTTCAAACATACCTTTTGGACTTTCATCAGATCGTAACACATTTTTTTACATGTGTTTGTGCAAAAATTTTAAACCCAGGTTGAATTTATCGGCCATAATGAAACTGATTTGTGAATTCAAAACACAACTCCATCCGTGATTATAAGCGCAAGTGCACTTTATCACGCTTATTTATTTTAGCTGCCCCTTTATTTATTTTTTACTTCATTGCAGAAAAAAATCTTTCAATGGTTCATCTCAGTCTCATTTCTTTATATCACAAACACTTGACGTTTGAACGGGGAGGTGCAGACTTTCTATATTCGCTGGTGTCGGAACGCCTCCTATGGTGCTTGAAATGCGGTTCATGGCCTGCGGTGAGAAGCACGTCGAACAACCATATGACCGCCAGGAGACAAAGAAGAGCTTTAAGTATATGTGTGGTGAATTCTGGTCACATGACTGTAACAAATCGAAAAAGAAGTATCGGTTGATTGGTGCTGAAAGCGTAAACTGTAAGCAATACAACAGTGGAACTTTTTCTAGGACACCATGCTGTTGCTCAGCAACCTATACATCCCGGAGGCAGCCAGCGCACCAGTGCGCATATATTGCTCCGTCTTAAAAGCATGCGCAACTCCTGACTTGTTTGAAGCAGCAAACGTACGCTCGGATCGTCACGGATGAAACCGTTAACGACTTGCAATTTCAGCTTGGCCGTAATTCTCGTGCATCAGGCGAGTTTGGAAAGGTTTAATAGAGCAATCGCGATGACAAATCAGTGGCGGTAAATGGAGGAGACCTTTAAGTCAAATAAAGATTTATATTCCGAGAGGCCTGGGAGTCATAACACAATGATCCCAATGGCTTGAACCCATCTGTTTACATCAGTGACTGGAGTTTAAAGTTATGCCGAGGGATGAATTGAAATGAAAGGAACAGTCTCAGTGGACACAAACGACGTCGCACCTCTGCAAAAGAATGACTTTTTTTTTCATGTTTGACTTTTAATGAATTTTGGCTCACTTTATCAAAAGGTCAAATGTCAAAACGGGTCAAATTTGACCCATCCAGTGTTTGCATGGTGGTCTTGTTTTGACTTTTTCAGACAGCAAAGCAGATTGGATGAAAAGAACCTCATTCCTTGAATGCAGGACAGCGTACAATTCGGCAAACAATCCAAATTCGAATGTCTTTTAAAAACTAACAAGGTCATTATTTTTAAGTTAAAAAAAAAAAAAAAAAGTAATTGGAACAAGAAAAATGAGACTCTGCTCACAATGATCATAAGAAATCGGAGCTCTCATCGTATCGCCTGTCATCTTCGGGGAGAGTGAGCAGCCGTGGCGGTAATAAGAGATGTGCAGATGACTAGTTGGGTTAAGAAACATGAAATATGGCTTTGGTATTGATGTCTATACTAATTGCCTTCTCTGTGCGTCTCGGGGCCCATCTGCGACCCCCCCCCAAGAAGCGGAGATAACGCCAGTAATGAAAGCCTTGTCTAGCTGACTGGAAACTCCCAGCTGACTGAGTGGTGGACACAAAGCCAGATGAGAACACAGACAAGCTTCTGTGTCCTTTTTATACAACATGGATGCTCTACTTAGCAGCCGAATGGTGCTCCAGCTCAATTTACTCCCCCCCCGTCGAGTTCTCTTGGATGAGCAAAAGCAGTGGCAATTCAAAGCACAAGTGAAGAAGTGCCGCATATTTTGAATAAACCGCTGGAAACAAAAGTCATCACACCCCGATGTGAAAATGTCAAAATTGTGCCCAATTTCGTGTGTCCACCATTATTTTCCAGCTCTGCTTTAGCAGCATTGCTAAGTTTCAGGATGGTGGAAATCTTCTTTTATCCAAGGCCATCTTGATGGAGAACATATTTCAACTGTATAATGTGGTTACTTGTGTCGAACGGGTTAAAAGAGATATGTTGTCAAAATCATCAATGAAACTGGTGTTAGTGATCAGGTCCTCACAGACATTCATGCAACGAGGTGCCATAATGAACCTCCGCTGATATATTTGAATGCCGAGATCTTGTAACACCAGTGAGTCAGTCACGTGCCGCCGAGGAGGGAAAATGGCTAATTTGAGCTCAATTTTCACAATGGGGTGTGCTCCCTTTTGTTGCCAATGATTGAGATATTAAAGTTGGTGTCCTGAGAGCTGTTGATGAGACCGTATATTTTACAATATAAGCTGTACACTGATAACTTAGTAAAGTGTCATTTCTTCAGTTGTTTTCAATTTTAAAAGATATTTACCCCAAATTTAAGGAGCATCATCCTTTTTTGCAGCACTCTTTATATTTAAGAAAACCATTTCTCTCCACCAAGGAGTTTCAATTTTGAAAAGTCATTTTCAAAATAGTCAAATTTGCCCGGTAACAGATTCAAGCGGGAAAGTGAAATTTGTTTTCGGCTTCAGGTTTTATGTTGCATCATTTAGCTCACTAAAGCCTCATTGTCATGGGGAGAAAAATCTTGCCACACGTTCGACATTCTCATTTTGATTAAATGCTACTTTTGTGTACATCTGCAGCCTCTGATGGGTGCTTTTTGGGTTAGGAGGGGGAGGGGGAAGGTTCACAGGGCGCGTATGAGGCAGGCTAATAAATAATGCAGAGATTTCTGTGTGATTTAGGGCACGGCAGAACAGCTCGTCTCCACCTTGTCATGGTATCAGTTCCTCACCCATCCCCCCTGCCCCAGTCTGGATCAATGCATCTGTTCCAGTTTGTGACCAATGATCCACATTGTATTCCTATTTGTTATCTGAATTCTGCTTTAATTTGGAGAAAGTACCTAAACCCCCCCCCCCCCCCCCAAAAAAAAAAAAACGAGCCATGCAGTGTTTTTTTTTCCTTTAACAAACAAAACAATATTATGGATTTAACCCAAATGGGATTGTACATTTACGGTAAATGTAGTGGGGGATTAGTCAAGTGAGGCTACATTCAAATCTTGCCAGCAGTTTCAAAATGGAATGAAGCGGTAAGTGTTTCAGGACTGCGTATACAGTATTTTAATTGTTGACTTTAATTAAAAGATTTCTTTTCAATGGCGGCCCGGTGGTCCAGTGGTTAGCGCGTCGACCTCACAGTGCAGAGGTGCCTGGGTCGATTCCAGCTCCGGTCTCCCTGCGTGGAGTTTGCATGTTCTCCCCGTGCTTGCGTGTTTTTTTTCCGGGTACACCGGTTTCCTCCCACATTCCAAAAACATGCATGGCATCCTGATTGAACACTCTAAATTGTCCCTCGGTGTGAGTGTGAGCGCAGATGGTTGTGCGTCTCTGTGTGCCTTGAGATTGGCTGGCAACCAGTTCAGAGTGTCCCCTGCCTACTGCCCGAAGACTGCTGGGATAGGCTCCAGCACCCCCCGCGACCCTTGTGAGGATAAGCGGATCAGAAAACACACACGCACACGCACACGCACGAGGTGATACAACTGAGAGAGCAACAAGTAGGTCAGGACTGACTCGTGTACAACAAGAGAACTCTCCAGAGGAGCGCTGTTGTGTTTGATCTGCATCTTCCCCCTCGAGAATACGCCTGGATGTTTTTGCTGCTCTGAAGCTGAATATCTGAGACAAAATAAGCCGTTGAATTGCGTGTGAAATTGATATACGCCCAGACTGATTTCATTCTCGACCACAAGGCTCACATTTAGAGTCAAAAAGGGAGCAGAGATGAAGCAATGTACTGTATTTAAAATGATCTATTGGTGTCTAATTAGAGAAATCGAGTGTGTGTTTGTGTGGTTTTATTACCTGGTGATGACTGGTCGCTGGATGCCACTAAAGTTGCAGGTGTTGGTCGACGTCTCCTAATCTGAAAGAGTAAAATAAATTCATTTAAATAATTAGATGCATAGTTAATGGGGTGGGGGTGGGGGGAGTATGGTGATCGAGACTTGCCAACCAAGAATGGCAGAAAAAAAAACATGTAACTGACATGCGCCCCCCCCCCCACCCCACACACAGACAATTTTTTAAGTGTCAAACTATGATCATATGATCCCTCTATAAAAATGTTTTAAGGATTATTTCATTGAGAAAAAAAATGCACCGGAAATGCACGTGTACATGCGGCAAAGACTCTCAATGATTTCCACTAACAACCCAGGCTAAACTTAGCTCCTGCCTGGCACACAAAGTTTATTTCTCAGTAAAGACGTATCACTTCAAAATATAGTGGTACCTTCAGATACAAGTTTAATGCACTCTCTCACCATGCTTGTAACTCGGAAGAATTGCATGTCAAATCATCTTTTCATAAACAGTCAAACCTCGGTTTTCGAACGTTTCGGTTCTCGACCAATTCGGTTTTCGACCAAAAATTTTGAGTTTTTTCATGCCTCGGATGACGAACAAATTTTGGTTCTCGAACAAACTGAGCGCACTTGAATGCACCACTTGATTCCTCTCGCCTTCCTTACACGAGGAAATGACGCTTCCTCGGGTAGACGTGGAAGTGACGCTTCCTCATGTCGCTTTCCATTGTGAGCAGACGTGTTCAATAAACTTTTTTTTTTTAAAAAGAGCGTGGTTTCGGTTTTCGAACAATTCAGTTTTCGAACAGCCTTCTGGAACGGATTATGGACGAAAACTGAGGTTTGACTGGATAATGTTCTAAGTTCGCAGTCCTACAACGTGACAGATTTTTTTTGTACAGTTAATAATGCTATTTTGGTCTAACACTCATTCGGGTCTAATTTCACCGGCGACCACTAGGTGGCGGCCGTTTATTTAGTTTGAGAAAGTGAAAATTTGAAAGAAGAACTAACACTGTATTTCAGCACAGGCTACTTTTTGTTGAAAGTTATTGAATGTCATCTCCTGTAATCATGTGTTTTACGCCAACAGAAAGCGATGGCTATAGGTTAATTTTATAATGTAGAACTCTGGGCATGGTTATTGATATACATTGTGAGATGATCACACAAAAATGCGATTTGTTTACTGTGTCCTTGAGTGTTTTGAAAGGCGCTTATAAATAAAATGTATTATTATTATTATTATTATGATTATTATTGTAACACTGAGGGATTGGTGCATTGTTTATACAATATGTTTGTGTTGTCGATTACTTTGGCTCTCTCTTAATAATTTATATGTGTTTAAATGTGTTTGTATTATTTCAAAAGTGTGTTGAAAGACCTTAAAAAAAGAATTACTGTAAATGCTATAACAACATGCCCAGAGAGTATTTAAATATGCAATATCTATATTGCCGATTTTACTAATCACAGAAGTGGTCTGATTTCAAAATTTGCTCTTCCTGGCGGCCTGCTCATTGCATCATCTTAGATTCACCACGGCCCATGTGACCCACTTTGAGTCGCACCCGTCGAATCAGCCGTGACATTAGCTGAGCTTCCACCATCGTGCTTCCAGAAAACCACCCCATTTAATTCCCAGTTGTTTACATACTTCGTCATTGTTCCCAAAAGCTATAACGGTAAAACTAAATTCGAATGCCTTACACGGCGTTGACGCGGAAGGAATAATGTGCCTAAATGCAGTGAAGAGCGTACTACGACAGCGGCACAGTGCAAATGAGAGCGGAAAAGGCTTCATAAGCATTGGAGCCGTATCAGTGGAGTACAGGAAGGCCGCGTGAATAAGAGCGTGTGCTCTGTGCCATTTCTGCCATCAGAGATATGCACCTGCTCCAGCTGCTTCGAATGCTGCCAACTTCACATCTTGATTGCATATTGACCCATTCAGCACTTTGCTTTCATGGTTCTATTTTTATTCATGATGACCAAAAACAAAAAGACAGTCGTTGATTTGCAAGTCAGCAAAAAAAAACTCCTTCCCTGCCCTAAAAGGTGTCTGTTGTATAAAACTTTCTTTAAAGTACAGTGTAGAACTGTGGTTCTTGATTTTTTTGGGGCTCTCCAAGTACTACCACAACGACCAAAATTATGATTTAATAATCCCATGTGTTTCTAAAAAAAAAACAAAAAAAACGAGGTAGGTGTAATTACTAAAACGTATCTTTAATATTGCGTGTGTACCATATTTTCCGCACTAAAAGGTGCACCTAATAGCCTTCCATTTTCTTAAAAGCTCACAGCTATAGAATGCACAGTGTGGGTTTGAGGCAATATCCTGCTTTTGTAAATGGCAAATATGGATAACACCAAAATACATTTATTGTATCTATCAACTGAGTTGGGACAAGCCTGGTGATAGCCCAAGACAATTACCGTATTTTCCACACTAAAAGGTGCACCTAAAAGCCTTCCATTGTCTTAAAAGCTCACTGCACGCCTTAAAATCCAATTCGCCTTGTGCATGGTCATTACGGTAATTTTTCGACCCCATAATGGCTCCTTGCTAGAAACATGCTGACAATGCAGAGTTCAAACTTAAGGCAATTGGTGACGCAGTTGAACACGGAAATAGAGCAGCGGCAAGAGAGTTCAACGTTAACGGGTCAATGTTATAACTTGCTGTTGGTTAAGTGAACTGTGTCGCTGCTTTATTAAATAAGTTCTCCTGACATCTGATCGTTCTGTTGGGATTTCCTTGAGCGTAGCTCTATCTAGTGGATGCATTGTAGATTGTGTCTTATAATGTGGTGCGTCCAATGTATGAAAAAAATATATAAAATAGGCCATTCATTGAAGGTGCCCCTCATAATCCAGTGCGCCTTTTAGTGTGGAAAATACGGTGAGCTACTATAACATTATGCAGAGTATGAACATGGACACTGTACCCAAACACAGCATAACATGACCACGCACGCAAATCATTCAACATTCAGTCATGACATAAATAGAATTAAAATTTTAATGGCCATTTGTGCTGCTGTCCACCTTGGTCACCTGGGATATATTATACATCTCGACAAAATAGATGTCTCAGCTTGTCGTGGAAGATAAAAGAATATAAAACTGACAACTGTTGTATTGTCTGCCTAAATGTGTTGCTGCACTGTTTGTGTTCAAATATCAGTTGCCTAAAGGGTTATAAAGTATTTGAGATTTCCATTATGTGATTATGTGATTGGTCAAAGGTTTAGCACCGTCATAAAACAGCAGAAAGGGCACACATCATTTTGCTGACAAGCGAAGTGACGATTAGTGGCTCAAAGTGAGCCTGACATTTAGGGGGCAAAATACTGCACTCTTCGGCCTCTCATGCGATTTCAATTTCACTGATGGACATCTCAAACTGAAGGGGTTGTGTCATGCCTGCGGAGCTTGTTCGACAGAGAGACGTTTTTAGCCTGAAAGAAACTATTGTGTCTTCTTTATAAAGTAGTCCAAGATTATCTGTGTTTAGATGGAATTTTTAATTTTGGTGTTACAAAATCTGGCTGCTGGTCTTCATTTTATCGTCCTCAATTCAACAGAAAGAGTACCTATAAAGATGAAAAAAGTTGCTAGCTCACTCGCTAGCTATCTTACTCGCTCGCTAGCTAGCGAGTGAGATAGATAGATAGACAGAGAAACAGATAGATATCGATTTTTACATTTTCTCATATTCAAGCGTAGTTAGGGGCATATTCTCCCATCAGAAAAGGCGTGCTGCTTTGCATTTTTTTTTTGGCTCCGCAGATTCTCCCATCCACTTAATTGTGTCACTTACCTTAATGTAATGTGCACACTCTGGGTGGAGCTACATTAAATCCTTTCAGGGACAGCGGTTACTGCAGTGGACAGCTTAACATGTTATCAGGTTATCAGGTTACAGAACATGTGTCAAAGTCATGGCCCGGGGGCCAGGTCTGGCCCGCCCCATCATTTTGTGTGGCCCGCGAAAGCAAGTCAAACATGTCAATTTCCGTGATGCTTGCTAAAATCTTGACCAAAACTTCAAATTCTTATATGTAACAAATATGAGACATATTTTATATATATATATATATATATATATATTATGACAAAAATGAATTTGACACCCGGTTACAGGGTGCGTGAAAGGGTTAAATGAGGGCATCCTCTGTCAAATCTAGCAGTGTGTGTATTCCCCCAGAAACTAAATCATCTTTCCTCTTGCGCACTGAGGATGATGTAGTAAGGACTGGCACCTCTTGAATTTAAAAAAAAAAAAAAAAAAAAACTGCTTCCGCGCACTGCTCACAACACCTGTAGGCATTTATCAGTGTTAACGACCACTATTATAATGTGGTATGACAGAAAATTAAGATATTACTGGCGGTGGGTGGAATCCTTGCATCTCCAAAACCATCACTTTTCACCAACCAAAAAAAAAAAAAAAAGCCATTTTTGTTGAGCTATAAACGTTGCATTGTCACAGAGAGAAAGCTTTTTTCCAACACCTTAGATTGCTCAAAAAAAAAAAACAGTATAGGAGTATAGATTTGTTTCAGAGAAAAAAATGGACAAAAAAATTAGACATTGGAATTTTCCGCCCAACAGCCACGATATGAATTGATTGCATTAAAAAAAAAAAAAAAACAGTGAGTGACTCACTCCACATGCACAACAGGTAACACACAAAATAGCCCACAAAGTTACACAAAGCAGCAGGCCCGGACTAACATCAGCAAAATGGAAATGGATGAATGGAGTCACCAGAGCAGTGGTTTCCTGTCTTCAATTTTTCTTGGAAAATATGCTTCCTTGAGGGAATATATCTGCATTACATTATTCAGATCAAGGACAAAAGATGATAGAATGGAAAACCGGAGCGGGGAAAGCCCTCTTTCTTTCTGGGAGGTCTGTAGTAAAATAACACATGGAAACATATCATCTTCATCTGCGCTGGTTTTGCTAATTAAGTGACCCTCATCTAAATGATAGTGAGCTTCCATATGTGATCAGCTACATCAATCGAGAGTGTAAACAAATCCAACAAGACTTAAAAACTGCGAGCTACAGTCTACTAGCTTGATTCAGAGTGGCGAAGTGTGATGAGCTCCACTTATAATACTGATAGGAGAAAATAGCCATAAAGCAAGATACAGGAGTAGAGAAAATGAATTTGCGAGTGATTCCCCAGGCGCCGGAGGATGTTTTGCATCTCATTTGCAGATCAAACCTAAACTGCGCACAGAACAACGAACGCCACAAACACGGCACACATTGAAGAAGCAAGAGCTCATTCAGATTATTTCCTGACATCTCAAAAATGTTTAATCTGAAGAACTCGCCTATTCGCATTTATATGCATTTTTTTTTTTTTTGCTTTGACTTGCAAGCAAAGCCTTGAGTTATGAGTGCTGGACTGTGGCAGTGAACTCAACTCACTGTAGATTGGCAGATTATTCAAAATTATTCAAAAAGAGGCTTCAAGCTGTTTGCCACTCCCAGTTGATGTTTACTGTGAAACTAAACACAGAACAAAGAGAATTACACATTCTTTATTTAAAAACAACGACATAGCATTGCCTTAAAGTCCGCTAGTTTAATGCTAACACACAATAGGAAACCCCATAGAAAAGCTTACAAATAGCATCTATGTGGCTTGTGGTGCATTTATTTTATTTTTTATAACGTAAGCCATTTATTATTAACAGTAATGTTGTAAAATGAGACCGAAATCAAAACTGTTTTGAATCAGTTTCAGACACATCGAGGCTTTAAATGACAAATTCAAACAACTATAAACCCTTCTATTCCCACTATTCGTTAATCTTTGCTCCGCGCTTCGGGTCTCATGACTAGCTAAGCTTCCACGGCAGATAATTTAGCCATGTCATTTGCATGAATTAATTTATCATGTTCCATAACGTTTCCAAATCATTAAACGTGATATGCGGATCTCTATCAACACAGTCAGTCCGTGCTTGGCAGGAGCTTCAAATCTGAGGTTGTGTTACGTGTGGAACACTGTGTTTGTGTAAGTGTGTCTGCGTATTTGTGTGAGTGTGATTCTTTGTATGCGGAAAAGCGGGATAGTGTTGTTATGGTGAGTGTCACACACCTTAGGGAGGCGGCTTTCATTGACATGCGCCTCGCCACATAAACTGATTCACCAGCAGAGAGGTGTCAGCTTGCAGGAGGCCAGTGAACCGTGGCGCGCACACACACACACACGCACGCACGCACGCACGCACGCACGCACGCACACACACACACACACACACACACACACACACACATTTCTATTGTGTCTTTTATGAATTAATCTCTCCATATAACACACACAGTAGCATTGGGTCCAATGCAAGCTTATGGCCACCCACATTGATTTTCATAAAAGAATATTTGAGAGAATCCTTTGAAAAACAGCACTCGACATCTATACTTCATAAAAACTTACTATATTAATGTAATTAAATATTATGTAAAGAATGAAACAAAATGTGCACGGCCCATGTGCATTGTGCTCCTCGGCATGCACCTTGGCCAGTAGGGGGCACTATAATAAACAATTGTCTGTCTGTATGTGTTGCTGCGCCAGTCATATTCAAATATCCATTGCATAAAGGGTTTTAACTAGGGATGTCTCGATCCCCCCCCCTCATTTTTTTTTAACATCCGAGTCACCTGATTTTGAGAATCTACCGATAATACCATGTCACAATCTTATACCTTGCCAGTGTATTGTGAAGAAAAAAAGTGCACTTTCATTGTATATTTTGTATTTTGATTAAATATGCCAATGTTTTATGTTTAAACTTTAACTGGGTATGGCAATAAACCACTGGCCCATTTCCACACATACACCGATGCCATAGCTCTGGCTGCCAGTTATTGTTTATAACCAGCACACAAAAATGAGCTCCAAAACAACAAGAAATAATCCACAGAGTCAATCAAAGTCAGAATGCTTAGTCACGCACAGGCACATGTCCTATAATTAATGAAACCACTCCTCTCAAGAGTTAGTCTTGAGGACTGCCACGTTGCACAATAAAAAGGATAACTGCAAATTGCTTTTACCTGCACTGTATATCTTACCATAAAACAGTGGCTCTCAAACTTTTGACGCCAAGTACCAAATATAACATGCCATTTTGTGAATGCTACATATTTCCCAAAATTGTTCGACGCAGCCACAACATATTTGTCACTGAGGAATCAAGTGACACAAAATGCAACTCGATTATGAAAAGAACAGGCTAATGAAGCGGAGGCATGCAGTTGACTGAAATATGCACAAGCGTTATGAGACGTGTGCTATTTGTAATAATCACTAATGTAACCGAGCCCCAGCACTACCGGTGTATCTCTATGTACAAACACCAATAAAAGGAGCAATGATGCAACACTCAAGTTGACGTTGTCAAAGCAGCTTTATGCCCATTTTGCTGGCGCTTGCACACTGTCCCGATGCGTTAGTCCTGGCTATTACTTTTTGATGGAAAATATTAAACTTTTGTTGAAGTTTAACTTTTTTCTACAAATTTTAGGGTTTTCTCAAATATATGAATTTTCCACAAAGATGTACAAAAACGTTAAGTCTTATATTTGCACAATTATGCCTTTTGTAGAATTATTTTCCCCAAAAATATTACTTTATCTCAAATAATATCTTTCTCCAAAAAAAGATTAACTTTTTACTTTAAAACTTTTTTCCAAAAAATGTTTTCTAACGTAGATGACATTTTCTAAAAAACATTATTATTATTATTATTATTATTATTATTATTATTATTATTATGACAATACAACCTTTTTTTCTTACAATGTCCATTTTTCTTTAAAAGATACGATTTTATTTTTAAATTAAAAGCCAACTTTTTTTTCTCAAAAAGGATATGACATTGATCACCTCCTATTCTATTTTTTTTTGTCCAAGATATGTCTCTATTCTTGAAAGTAAAATTAAAAACTCTCAAAATGATTACTGTATTTTCCCAACTTTTTCGGCAAATAACTGATATGAGATTTCCTCAAATGTTTACTACGCTTTCTTTCCTCAAAACTAGGGCTATTTTTTCTACTTTTTTTCTGACAAATAAAACTTACTTTTTCAACAACAAATTTTCTTCAAAATCCGCATTTTTCCGCCCCTCAAAATTAGACTCCCCCCCAATAATATTACAAGTTCCAAGTCACAGTGTCTTTCGTAGTACAGTATACCGCACACGAATCTGTAAACGTCTAAAATGCCTCCTCTAATGTATCTGCGAGAGCCTGAGTCATGCTGGAGTAGAAAAGGGAGCGACGCACGTCAGAAGCGGCGAATGAGAGACTCACCCATAAATCTCTGCTATTTATACACAAGATTCATTCAATATGAATGGGCCATCTTGTTCATGGAAGATTCATCAAATGAGAAGATCAAGGACATTCGTATCTACTGCATGCGCTGTGGTTGCGAGCGGCTCTTAACATGCACCCACTGTGACCTGTCCTTCACTTCCATAGTCACAACTTCTTGAAATATTGTACATTGCAGACAAGCAACATCGGACATTCCTGCATGCTGAGGTGTCTCATTAAATGCCTGTGTGTGTGTGTGTGTGTGTGTGTGTGTGTGTGTGTGTGTGTGTGTGTGTGTGTGTGTGTGTGTGTGTGTGTGTGTGTGTGTGCGCATGTGCGGAGGTGGAAGACACTTCATTCTCCTCACACTGGAGGTGGACATGTAGACAGTTAATTGGCTGCATGGGGGGGTTGTAAAAAAGCAGCAATGTGTTTCTTGGGGCTCATATTGGGCAGTGAAATATATAAAAATAATATACAAGTATGTCTAGGAAAAAAAAAAGTGAACTGAGCCACTCTGTTTGTTTCTTGATACACCAAAATGTTTTCTGCATAGCCAGAAATTAGATCAATTGAGAAAAGAAAATACTTTTTGGGGGGAGGAGTCGGGGGGGGGGGGGGATTTTGACAAAATAATCCAAAAAAATCCAAGGGACAAAACAAGTTTTTTTCCCTTGTTTTTTTATTAATGTATTAACTATATTCTTCAGGCTACACAACTTTGTTCCTGTAATAGTTCTCTAATATATATCTTTTTTTATTTATTATTATATGATTTTTTTTTCTCAATGCATTGTTGCTAAGCTGAGGGGTTGACAATAAAGTTAAGTAGGAATATTGCTCCATGATCGAATCAGTGATTAAGTCTGGGCTATTTTACACCTTCTGATCACTGATCAAGTCCTCATCGCATTTATAGATAGATAGATAGATAGATATTCATTCTCTACTAAAAGTAAGACTTTTTTTCCTTTTTATTTTTATTTATCAATTTATTTTGGAAACATGCAAATTGAATTTTATGAGAAAATAACTATTTTTTTCATCAAAAACACATTTTCTCAAGGGTCCAACTCTAATCAAGATAATATTCAACTTTATTCCGAAAATATTTTTTTCTTTTTCTTTTTCTAGAAAACATGCTACCTTAAAGTTTTTCTAGAAAAAAAGTTGATTATTCTCCGAAGATTTTGATTTTTTTTTTTTTTTTTTTTAGAAATTAAACAACTGTTAGAGGGGAAAAAAACATTCTTTTATGTATTTATTTATTTGTCTTTAAACTACACAAAAAATGTCAACTTTTTCTCACAACTATTTGAGTTCCTCGCTCCGGTGTTACCTGTTCCGCTGCCTCCGGGTCCAAGTGGGTGTCCAGTAGCGGGACGGTGAACTGTATCTTCCTAGGACTCCCGGTTTCCATGGCGGCTGTGCTCGAGTAGATAGATGCGTGTGTCTGTGTGTGTGTCAGCAGTCCTTGAAGAGCGCAAGAAAGAAGGAGAATCCCACCGAGTGAGGAAACTGGGAAACAAAGTAAAGAGAGAAAAGAAAAAAAAAAAGAAAAAAAATTGTAAAAATCAAGACTAGTGTCACCGTTTCCTGACGTATCCGGAAAATATGAACTTGTACGTTATTCACTTGCTTCTGGGCATCCTTTTAGATATTTCCAATGTGACCAATTTCCAAGCACCTGCCTGTCCTGCTTTGCCTCCTCTCTGGATCCCAATGCTGAGACGACAAGGGCACTCCGATCTGGAAGCAGCTCTCCTTCACGCGCATTGGCTGAGCTCGGGGAAAGACCCGCCCTTTTTCTACACCTCCTACCCTGTGTATTGGCGTGCTCAGAGCTCTGCGGCAAGGAGAGCGAGCATGAAAAAAAAAGATTCTCTCTTGAATATGTGGGAGGGAGGCATTATCCTCACCATCCCACCCTGACGAGCTGTCCTAGATGTACAGTAAATGCCCCTACATACAGTAGCATACACAAACTGAATCAAAGAATTGTGATTATGTTAAAAAAAAAAAGTCTTTTTTCTTCTTCTAGGAAAACAGTGTACTATTGATCACCGGTCGTATAGTTCATGATTATGGGTAAAATTATGGATTGTGAGCGGGAGAGTGAGTGACAGTGCTGCCTTAAGATATGAGTTTGATTTATTACCCAACCATGCTTGTATTTTACAAAACAGATACAGTATTGGCATGATTAAATAGTATTAACAATAAGCCGTTTTTGCCACATTGCAGCCAATAGTATTGCAGCTGTGGCGTGACCAGTCTAAAACTCAAGTGGGTTTCGTAAAATGATACATCGGAACTCTTCTCCCGAGTCATCAGTACAGCATTAATAAAAGCAATTCTACGCAGAAGATAAATAAAATGCGACTGTGAGTGTTGTAATATTTGTTTAGCTACAGGTATATGTTGTTACTGAATAGTTTGTGTTCAACCTCTTACATAAAAGGTTATTTACCATTACCTTAAGCTAGCCGAGACATTTTTCAACACCGAGTCGTTTGTTTGCTTTAAATACACAAAGCTTGTTGGTTTTTGTTTGACAGTAAAGTTCAATTGTGAGTGGCATTAAATTGCCTTTTTAAAGAAGGTGGACTACTTTATTGAGAAAAGATATAAAATTTATAAATCCACTACACAATGAAACAGCGAAAATTGAACTGTGATATGGCAAGGTGATTGTATTTTAATGATTAGGTCCATTTATTATGTTTCATTCCTTATTTTACTGTCCAGTATTTTATTTTATTTCTTCGTTCATTGATTGTATTTTCATTTTGTTTCCCTTTTTCTGTAGTTTAGCAATTATTTCTGAATTAATGTAGCATATTTAACACTTTTTTACTCTATTTCAATAATTGATAAATCACCGTATTTTCAACATTTTTACTCAATATCTCTACTGGTTATCTAGACTTTGATAATGGAGAGAGGGGGGGGAGATTACTTTTTTTTTTTAACAATCATTTGTTGCTATTGTTTCGCCACAATGAAATGAGCACATTTATGAAATATACTCCTCCAGGTTCAAAGTCTTTATTAATATTTCATTATTTTCTTAAATAAAAACTTGTCCTTTTTGGCCCTAGCATTTACTCCAATCAGTATCATGTTGGTGACAGTGAAGATAAAATAAAAATAAAGCTTTGTTTGTTTTTTTAGCGAAATACATCTGTGGTTTCAAGGAAAAAAAACAAGTGATTTTCCATTTCAGTTTCATCTGATGGACAGGGGTCGCCCTTGTCAGCTTGCTGCCCTTCATGCGTCCTCTTTGCAGCAGCATATTATTTCTTGCCAAACCTCTGGGGCACCGCCATGCTCCAGATCTGGCCGGGAGCCTCCTCCCAGTCAGGCGAGTTGATGTGATCCTCCAACACGAGCGGCCCTTGGGACAAGCGCCCAAACCTGCCAGGGGGGGAGGTGGGAGGAGGATTTGGAGACACATGGAAATTGAGGGGGGCTGACTGATGAGAGGATTAGAATGAAAAATGCTTTTGTCTCTTTATGGATGGTAAGAAGTGTAAAAAAAATGCTTTTGATGAGGGACAAGTCCTGCAGGTCCTTAAAGGTCAGATGTGAAGTAAACTTGGCCAACCATCTTTTCAGTAACACATAGAGCGAAAACCATTTCAAGCATACTTGCGTTCGTTTTTTTTTTTTTTTTTTTAACGCAACCCACCCAGATTCATAGTTAGACCCATAGCAACACGCTTCACAACAAAAATGCTTTTGTTCTGCAAAATCCGGCGAGTGACGTCATTTACAGAATGCCGAGTCACCAGTCAGCCATGGTACTGCGTTGTTGATTATCCCGTTAACTGCTCTTTGCCATTGTTATCGAGTTATTCGGCGAAATGTCTCGGCACTGTGTGGTGATGCACTGTTCACATTCAGGCAAACAGTTGTTTTGCTTTATTTTATGTATTTTGTTTAATTACTCTATTTGCGACATAAAAATATTTCGTTTGGGATTACTAAAATTACTTCACAGTTGACCTTTAAAGGGGAACTCAAGTCAAACATTGTCTTTACAATAATATGTTCTATGTGGCCCCACGAGTCTAAACATGCTATACTGATTCGTATTATATTTCTTCATTTTTTTTTTAAGATTATAACTCAAGACACTGTACCCGGAATTACTTTTTTTTTTAATAATGAAAATTTGTAATTTGTGAACCTGGGAGAAAAAAAGAATTTGCACCAACCTCTGCGACTCATGGAGCACAGAGTTCCGGGCTTCCCTGTGAGATCCCAGCAGCAGAGCTCTGAGCATTGCCGTCAGCAGACGATCGTCCAAGCTTCTGTCCGCTTTGACGCTCTCCTGGTGGTTGGAAAAAAACAAAACAAGACATTGGAAACAATGCTATCAGAAAAAACAGATGTCATGAAAACACACTTAATAAGTGTGTAATCTCCTCCTAATGTAAGCACTGGATATTCCAAAGTCTTGCACACTCTTATTCCGTGTCGCATGTGAACTCGATTAACTGCAACATATTTCATATATTTTTATAATCACGCCATATGGGACATGTGATGGTCCATTTTAAATTGTTTCGACAGGAGAGCACGTTTAGTTATGTTTACACAAAAGGAAATGTTGAATTATTTATGAAAGTATTTAAACATGGATCATTCCATTTTATTCATACTTTTCGATGGTTGGAAATGAAATAAGAAATAAAATGAATAAAAAGTAGGCCATTACATCTCACGCATTTGTGATTTAACTTTGGGACAAAATACATTTATTCATTCATAAATGTTTATTTATTCATCTGTAACTTCACATTTTATGTATTTATTTCTTTTGTGCTATTGCTTGTACATGTCCTATTAAAAAAAGTCTTAGTTCAAATGAAAAGATTAGCTTCATGTAAATTCCTAATATAGAAAAAACTATTTTGCAATGTATAGTTTTCCAAATGATTGAATGAACACAGAATTGTGTTTACAATATGACTTTCTGCAGAAAAGCTTTACGAATGTTTTTTTTTTTTTTAGATACAGTACAGATGCAGGCAGTGTGTATGCAGATGTTGTGATGATTTGGATTGGCCGTCTCACCATCGCCAGCAAGTGATTGTCCATGTTGTCCTCTGACCTAGCCCCTTTTATATCTTCACGCTCCTCCGGCAGGCCTCCGGCGCGAAGCCCGTGGCTGACGCCCGTCAGTGCCATCAGCACCACTAGAATGGTCACAGCTGCACTCGTGTCCATATTGGCCAGCCTCGGCAAGAAGAAGAAGAAAACGACTTTCCAAAAGCTCGGAAGGACTTACAGGCAAGTAAGTGCAAGATGAGATGCACCGACCTGGTCCGCTGTCTTTTATACACCGTGTGCCGAGACGCCGTCAAACCTCAGGAGAGCTGGAGAAAGATGTCACGGTGCAAATGGGGGCGAGGGACAGGATGTAGGCTAGAAGCCAGGCCATTTAAGCTCAACACCGGAGTATTTAGTGATGACAGGAGACAGTCATTATGTGGCCCAGAGGACAGCGCGCAGCACAAAAGTCAAGACTTATTAAACAGATAAATCCTCACAAATAGGCCGTGATCCACTAGCCCCCCGGACGGCAGAGTACAAGACAAGACGAGCTGGAGGAAACGTTCATCAGCTCCATAATCAGCCCATACTGTAAGCGGCGATGCCGACATGATCAACAAGAGAGCTGGAACATTGCTTTTTGATTTTAATGAGGCCCTCTTGGAAGGGATCGGGGAAGTGGGAGTCCATGTGTTTCAAAGTCTCAAGGACCCATGCCCGGAATTGAACAGGAAGTCATTTTGGTGTGAGTGCAAGCGTGCGGTCAGTCCATTGCCGGGTCAGTTTTTAGGTCAGTCAGTGGGTCAGTGTGTGGGTCGTTCAGTCGGTGGGTAGATTGGTGCGTTGGGAAGTCTGCTTGTTGGTGGGGTTGGGGGTTGTGGGTGGGGACGGTGGGTCAGTTGTTGGGTTAGCGGGTACGGCATTCAGACTGTGGGTGGGTCAACGAGTCGCTGAGTCAGTGATTTTTTGATTGAAGGGGCAGTCTGTGGGTTACTGAGTGAGTGGGTCGGTTGGTGGCTGGTCTGTCAGGGGTCGATCAGTCAATCGGTCGGGGGGCTTGGGGGGGTCAGTTGTTGGGTCAGTGCGTGGGTTGTTCAGTTGGTGGGACATTGGGGGAGTCGGTCAGGCGGTGGCTAGTCTGCCAGGAGTCGGTCAGTCGTTCCTTCAATCATGCGTCGTACAGTCGGTGGGTGTATCGAGTCTGTCAGTAAGTAGGTCGGTCAGTCAATCAGTCGGTGGGGGTCAGTGAGTAGGTCAGACTGATTTGTACGATTGGTGGGTCAGTCGGTGGAGCATTGGGGGAGTCGGTGGTCTGTGGCTAGTCTGTTAGGAGACAGTCAGTCTGTCAGTCAATCGGTCGTTGGGTTGGTTTTTGGGTCAGTGGCTGAGTTGGTCAGGCTGAGGAATGGTCTGTTGGTGGGTCGGTTGATCAGTCGGTTGGTTAGTTGGTGGGGTGATCGGTCAGTTGTTCGGACGGTCAGTCAATTGGTCGGTCAATCGATGGGTCGTTGGATTGGTCAATTGGTCAGTCTAGGGCTCATATTTTGGCTAACTCAAACAAGTGCAAATGTATGCAGTTTAGGGCCTAAACTCACTCGTAAAATTCACTCAAAAGCAGCCCCCCCCCGTGGTCTGTTGGTGGGTCGGTTGATCAGTCGGTTGGTTAGTTGGTGGGGTGATCGGTCAGTTGTTCGGACGGTCAGTCAATTGGTCGGTCAATCGATGGGTCGTTGGATTGGTCAATTGGTCAGTCTAGGGCTCATATTTTGGCTAACTCAAACAAGTGCAAATGTATGCAGTTTAGGGCCTAAACTCACTCGTAAAATTCACTCAAAAGCAGCCCCCCCCCGCAAGAAAGTTACAAACTGAAGCCACGTTGCTCACTCTGCACGTTCGCCATCGCATCACTCAACTTGAGTGACAGTTCAAACACTGATTTAAAGCCTACACATGGAAATTACTTTAAATATTGTATTTTTTTAAATAATATATAGAGTAGCGCATTGTTTACGCTCTAGCATGTTAACATATTTCCAGTGTTTTACATACTGTAAACATTTGCGCGTGTTACCTAACAATACAGAAAGAAACGTTTTTTAATCAGCATTGTCATATTTGTAGGATATATTGTGTTGATAGTGTGTGCACTGCGCGGTAATTAATAATCCCCACAGTGTCCATGCTTCACCGTAACACGTCTAATGGTTGACAATCGGATTAAACTAAACAAACGCACACACGCACGGTCGATGTTTAACTGCCATGGCAACCAGCATGTCATCCGCACTTTATATTTTAAATGGAGATCAATAAACCTTGGCGTGAGATGACATTCTAATTTCCCCTGACGCGATATTAAAAATGTGTCAGTCATTTGTATTGTTTTTACTGGCAATGCAAAGATTTCCAGCAGCCACTAATAAGTCCTCATAATAATACATCAAGGCTGACTCACTGGAGTAAACGATAAAAGATAAGATTGTTTGGACATTTGGGAAAGAACGTAACTGCGCACCGTTTTAGATATGAAATTCCTACCCAAGCGTAACAAATAAACACCCGGTTGCTTTCCAGAATGAAGTGAAACGACAGACAACTGTGCAAACGGGATCAAATGTGCATCACGTGGCACATTTTGTTCACATTGGAAATGAAATGAAACACTTGATGTATAATATTTATATACACTGGCTGTATAATATTTCCAAGGCCGCTGCATCTTGTTTGAAGGCCTGCTTGCGCTAAAATGAAATAAATAGGAATCCAATACAATGTATAGTAAAACGATTAATTCATTATTTAAAAAAATTAATTTAAAAAACACCTTCAATTATCCGTTATTTTTCAACCCTATTTATACATGTCTTGGCATTTTGTTTGTGGGTTTTTTGCTCGTTTGATGCTATTTTTCAACTATTAGTCCAATTTGTAACCATTTTTCAAATTCATTTAATGATATTTTTGTCATTAATAATATTTTTAACCATTGAATTTGAATGCATGTTCTTGACAATTATTGAAAGGCATTTTGTTCATTAAATTGTATTTATTAACATAATTGTTTATTAATCTATGATATTTTTATTTCAATATATATTTTTAATTAATTTAATGTTTTTCTTTTTTTGATGGTGGACGTTTTAACTAGTGAATGGAATTGTTATTTATTTCAAGACATTTTCATTGATTATTCAATTGTATTTTTATCAATTGAAGCAGAAATAAAGGAGAGGGCGAAAGAGGTCCTTCACCCTGCCACTAATACAAGCTTGTCCAGCAGAACCAACGAAGGCATGCGTCATTTTCTTTTGTTGCTGACGCACGCCCAGCGTGATGTTCCAGGAAATCCTCAGGCAGCAACCAATTTAGCGACCGGATGTTTCAGCGTATGATAGACAGTTGCATGTAGTCGCTGGCATCATGAGAAGTACAAGCAGATTGATTTCAACATTTATTGCTGTGCGCTTAAAAAAAATAATAATAAATAAATGAATAAGTCCATCTGGCTCACTTGAAAAGCACACTGATATCCAGAAACTATTGAAGATGCTTTGAACAAGGACCACGGCAGTATTCATGATCACATTCAAGATTTAATGTTAGATATATTTGGCTTTCATGCTGTGTATTCAAATCTTGACAGAGAGAACATCCATTTTAGAAGCAATAATAATCATTTTGGATTAACCCTAACCACATAAATGTGGACAATATTTATTTTTATTCTTATCAACCCTAATAGAAGTATACCTCTGCATATTCCCAGTTCACTATTCACATATTTGCTTATTCCCCTGAGGTTTTTTTTTTTTGATTGTCCATTTATATGACATCTGGTGGAATCTTTGAGTTGTTGTGAACTTTAATTCATTGGTAGTGCTTGTTTTGTTGTTGTTCTTTTTTTCCTGTTAACCTGGTCCCCTATTTTGTTGCCAGTTCTGAATGCACCTCAAGGGTATGTTTTTGCTTCTCTCCTGATGGAGCTACTAATACCCCATGCTGTCTACTTCGCCTTTACGATGTGCCTTAAACTGCCTCTTGGTTTTTTTTTCTTTATTGTGTAAATACCAAAAAGTGGGTTTAATAAACTGTGTGAAGTGCCAGTACACATCCAATATGTGTTTTCCAATGTGTGATGTTATGCCAATTTGAGATAGCATGTTATTTAAAACAATATATCAGCTCATACTATCGATGAGTCTCATGTCAATGTGGTTTGTTTGTGGTATAATTGAACTACTTCAATTTGTTGTTTATGTGACATGGGTTCATGGTTATGTACATTCTACGAGCATGGTGTTGGTGCTTTGTGGTGCATGGGTTTTAAGTGCTTTTCTTCCATCTTGTGACATTTACGTACTATTAAAAGAGGCCAGGCATTGGGACAAAGGGGATATATTATCTGCGGATTCATGCTTTTTTGCAGGTGAGCTTATTCAAGGTCCAAGGGGTTGATTTCGACAGGTCTGCAGCAGCTGTAGCAAAATCACACTTTTTCATGTTAAAAAAAAAA